ATGTTCAAGGTAGAACTGATAAATTCACTTCTACATGACGATTCACAAGAACACATTTTCTCCATCGTAGAATCCATGTATATAATTATGCTTATGAATTATTTTTAGCTTCACCGTTATTTTTATTGAGCAAAACCATAAATTTTAACTCAACGCGTATTTGCATTAAAGAACATTCAACATTTTAGATGAAACACCGGAGTGTTCTCGTAAATAAATACATTTAATATAAATAAGTTTTGCTGTGCACATTACTAATTTCATTTCAAAAGAGGAATTGACAATTATATTAGTATTTTAAAGCTTTCTCCACAAAGATGACGAGTTTTCCAGCCCTTGCAAATAATCACTGTGGAATCATCACTGTTAAGAAGAGTTATCGTTGAGCATAGTTACACAGGTACTTACAATTTCATATTCTTAGAAGTAATTATTTTGTTAACCTATCGATTCATTGAATCCTTTGACAAAGAACATGTATAAATGAGCTATCTACGAACTTACGTCCCAACGAACCAGTATCATTTGCTTGTCCACCGTGTCTTTTGACGAATACTGTGGCACTATATGAATTAAATTCACATGGTTCCACTAAAGTCGTCAAGACATTTCAGAATTAAAACATTGACAGGAGATGGGTATCGGAAGAGGGGCTTTTTATCAAAACAAGGGAGCATCAGTGGCATGCCTTATCACAGAATGTTGAAAATAGTGAAGAGCAATGCTGCACGTATAAGTATAGCATTAAATTTGATATAAATTGATAAAAAGATAATTACTTCACTCGAAATGTTCAGTAGTCCTGCGTAATCGACCAACTGTAAGTGATAAGTCCCTGGAAATTCCCAATGTTCTCGGCAAATTAACGGTACGCATGAATTTGAAGTTTCAAACACTAAATGAAAAACATTATTGAGGATTATTTTTATCTTTTAATATTTATTTTTATAATTTTATAAAACCAATATATTTGACAGATGCTTTAAAAAAGATTTTAAACAATAGTTTGGTTTACAATTAATGCTGAATTGTACTCTTTAACTTTATTTACGAGCAGTACGTTTATAGTGAAAATAATAAAGAATCTTACCAGAACTATTTTGTCATCATGTAGTACGAGATTCTACTGAATCCATTCTCCTCTCGACTTTTGCTCACAACAACTGGGACAAAGTGAGAGGGATCATTTACCTCTGGACGTTGCAATGTCTTTTCCATTTGCATTGTGTAATTTGTATCCTATAATTATACCCCCGCTTGAAAAGCGGGAGGGTATATAGTAATCGGTATGTACGTCCGTCCGTCTGTCTAGTTACATCCGTCTGTCTGTTAGCTTTGGGGAACCTATCTTTTATCCGCAACTCCTCCCATAACACTGAATGAAATTTGATGAAACTTTCACAGAATCTTTACTACATATTGCCATTGTGCACCTCCTATTTTATTTTTCGATCCGACACATATTTTGGATTTCTCACAACAAAACATGGAGACTCCCATTATTTTCATATGGGAGGCGGGGGGGGGGTATCATTTAGTGAGCTCATTGCTCACAGTACCTCTAGTTTTTCATTTGTATTGTATAATTTTTTTAATTGTATTATATACTTTTCCCTGTCAAATCAAGCAGACCGAATGTGACCTGTTGGTCAGGTATGTAGGATAGAAATATACAATTTTAAGTACATGTACATCTGGTTTATAAAACTTTTCTTCAACCTGCACGAGGAATGGGGAAGAGAATGGGTAAAAAACGTGTAAAAATGGGGGGGGGGGAGGGTGACTTGTATTTAGGGATGGTACCATGGAAGTTAAATCACCCTGACACCCAGATTGGTATGTGGCTCTTCATCTTAAAAGATCTTTCATGTAGTTAAAAAAATGATTAAATATCTGATTTTTCAAACATTTTTATTGTAAAAAAATATATACATGTTATATTCTTATAGTTAGTACAATTTACTGTCAATTACATTTAAAACCGGTATTGCTATTATACTTCATAATCTTATCATCAGTACTGAAACAATCAGATTGATAGTATATACACAGAACTAAAATAAAACCTCTTACTGAGCAAGAAAACTCGGGTACTTTTGTTTATTCGGTTTATAGCAACAAACACATTGACTGTATATAAAGTATTGAACAGGTCTCGAGAAGCAATTCTGTTGCTCATGTGAATTTCATTTGCTTTCTCTTTTCGTATTTGTCTCGTCATCCAGGAAAATGCCTTCGTCCACGGATTCGACAACTAATGACTCCACAGAGGGTATAGTTTCCGGAACTCTAGAAAGACCTTTCTTGGCGCTAAAGTTTTCTCTGCGCGGATTATCCGCATATAGCTTTGTCTCTGGAGAAGGATAAATCTGAGGTATTGCCGGCACGTCTAAATAGCTCACTTTTGGTTTCAAATTATGTTGTTCTGAGAAGGCAACATGTGTTATTTCTGATTTCATCCCTCCAGGTCCTATTATCCTAGCAGCACGTGGTCGGCGATGGGTAATCGTGTCGATTACCCTGGATCTGTTGAAATCTTTCACACGCGTTACCGAAAATTTCTTGATTTTAGCCAGTTTAAGAGCATATTTTCGGAACCTTCCACTCAGAATTGCGTAGATATAAGGATTCAATGCTGCGTGTAAACAGAGTAGCCATGAAGTTATCATCGACGAAACAGTCGAAAATTCGAAGATATCTTGTTTGGAAAGAAATTGTAGTTCATTTATGACGAATGGTGTCCAACAAATTATGAATGCTAATATATGTCCAAGAAGTCTAAGCATAGCTTTTTGCTGGTTGTTACTTTTTTCCGTTGACGTATTATGAAGGCCATTTGCATTAAAACTGCTTAAATCAAAATCGATCAAAGATCTAGTCGAAGCAACTGGAAACCCCATGACAGGAAGACGACGAACGGGATCAAGAACAGCAAACGCTACGATTCCATGAGGAGGTACCGTAGTTTCACAGGAAGTTCTGTTCACATGTGCATTAAGATCGGTTATCTTTTTGGCGTGAGATCTTGCAACAACGATGATTCTAAGATAGGAATACCCCATTGTAATAATTGGCACTAAATACGTCATTAAAAATTGTAATGTTGCGTATGATAAATGAGTATTCCATTTTATATAACACAGGTACAATTTAGGGTCATAGGTTACTGACCCCCAGATCCCGGTAATGCTAGGGATAGAGCTAACTAGTCCAAAGACCCACGTAGCGGTCAAAGCAAGGGTAGTGGTCATCGTAGGTGACCAGGAGGAGTAGCGGAGACAATGGATGATGGAAAGGTATCGATCCAACGCAATGACAGTGGTGGTTAGGATGGACACTACAGAAAAAAGACTCGTTGATATGGCCGTAAAGGAACACACCGTCTGAAATGAGAGAGGAATGAAGCGTCATAGGAAAGTGAATATTGTTTTTTTTATTTATCAAATACTATACTGTTTAGAAAAGTAAAATGAGAGGCAGATATTTAACATTTGTTGAATGCTATTTGGGGTATTCCATCAGATATATTTTGATGACTGATGGTAAAACTGAAACTTGTAACCTATGCATAAGCCGTATATCGCAAAATACTTTTGAGAAAATTAAGTCGGCTAAGGTTGTTTTAGAAAATAGGATCCTTTTATATAGAAGATGTCTTGTGGAATATAAATATGAGTTTCTGCTAAGATGATTTTGTAAACATTTCCACAAATGGTTTTGTAAAAAATATTTTCATTTTTTTTTTACATTGTATGTCAACCAGATGATTTTGTAAACATTTCCACAAATGGTTTTGTAAAAAATATTATCAAATTTTTTTTTACATGGTATGTCAACCAGAATTAGCTCATTGGAGGCTATGTTAATGATTTTAGCTGTTTGTGTTTTACTAGTAATCCCCAAGAGGATAGTTGTTTACTTTGCATTTATCGATTGTCATCACAATAAATCATCAAATGATATTAAACCTCGAAGATTTATTATTACTATAGACATGGGTCCTATTAACTGTAGCTTATATTGCAAGCTAGCGATCATCATGTTACATTAATTGAAGTGCTGCATTGTAGCGCTACAAAGAAGTTCCTGTGTGTCCTTATATGAACAATACTTCTAACAATCTACCATTTTACACCCTAGATTTTCTGCGACACAATTATTTTGATTAATATCTTTTTATTGATAGGTAAAAACTACCCCTATTGATAAAAAAGTTTGAGCAAAGCAGTTCGTTAATTAACAAGCTGCTAGAAATTGATAAGAAATATTGACATCCTTGCCATGATATCTTTTTTTTACGTCGGGGAGGATGCTGTTCCTCTGCAGCACTAAAAAAATTTGCTTATAAACCAATTAGATTCAGTGTTTTTGAAAATTTTTCGTGATCTTCCCCAATTTGACATATGGATGAAAAAATACCTTGCATACTATCACCCACTTCATATTGAATAGTGATAAAGATGTAAAAATAAACAATAAAATGCCTTCTTCTGTTTATACGATAATGAACAGTTGCAACCATTGCAGGAAATATACTTTTTCCTTCTTCAATATTGCAAAGTTTATTCTTTAAGGAAAGGCCATAAGACCATAAACTGATATTTGATTGTTGTTTATCGTCCCTCTTGAGAATTTTTCATTCATATGGAGACGCACTATAAACTGAGAACAGGTTTCAGTCAAAATATCAAATTAATATAATTTTTGCACTTTTATAATGAATGTATTATAAATGACAAGCTATACTGAGAAGAAAAAGAAACGCAGCGGTAAACTTCTGAGGTTAAATAAGTTTATTTTTCTTTGTTTTTCTAGTATTCGTATCTTACGTTTGCAAAATTTTTTAATGAAAATGGAACCAAAATCTCATTTGATTTTGCCATACAATACTTGAGTTAATGAAACTCATATGAGGATACCCCCCCCCCCAAATGAAAATTCTCATCATTTCCAATGTCTTCTTCCCTTGATGTGGCTCTGTTAAGCGTCAGTATTATCATCACGGTTGGATGGAAACCATTCAAGGTCCTCTTTTACGAAGGTTAAGACGTTCTATTTGGGAAAAATTTACAACCGACTGCACAGCAACCTGTTGTTGCCTTTGTCCTTACTTAGACAATGTTAAAGACCTTGTGGAACTTCCGTCAACTGTTACAAGATTGCAAGAAACTCATGTCGTCTTTAAATAATGAAAAACAAAATGTAACAGTATATACCCCAACTGCATCAAATGGTACAAGTATTTCGTTGACAAACTTGTCGTCACTAATTTGCACGTTTTTTGGCCTTTAAGCAACTTTTCCTCGTGACATCATACAATTCATGGCTGAGTAATTCTGAACACTGAAACCAAGATTCTCATTTGACCAGTTTTCGTAATTTTCATCATCGCCATGCGATCAAAAAATTTGCAATTTATGTTATCCTGCGTCTTTTTCCTTTCAGTATTTAAATAATCAGAACTTTGACTTGAGTCTGTACTCAATTTATAGTCTCCAGGCCGTTATTATAATTCTGTCATTTAATTTTTAAATGTTGAAAGAAATACAAATTTAAAGATGAAAATGGATCGTCTTTACTTAAGCGTAATGTAACATACAAGAATGTTCAATAAAAAGAATGCTTTAAAATAGTTTTATGTGAAATAATCGATGTTAATCGATTCTAACTTTAAAACATAATTAATTTAATTTTATATTCAAAACACACATATATGATCAATGATTTTCTTTTGAATGCTTCTTTCTCGTAATAAACAATAACAGATAAAATACCTGATTAAAGTGCCATCCTTCGTACAAGAAACTGTCTGTGAGGGTCGAAATCCTAATGACGCCGTATAGTAAGTCACAAACGCCAAGGTTAAGGAGCAACAAAGAGCTTCCAGACCGTAAGCTTGGTGTTCCCAAAATTGTCAAGATGACAGTTATATTCCCGACAATACAAAGAACACACAAAATGCATAAAGAAAATACGAAGATGACGTCTCCAACACAAAGAGCGCCATTGGAAGCCATCGATGAATGTGTCTGAAATCACTTAGAATTCTAAAACAAAAGAGAACGAAGTGTTCATTTAACTGGCTATTGTCACGCCATTTCGCTTCATCAAGGAATGTGTCTCTAGAAATTCTGCAGAGTCTAATCCTCGATCATTAGTTAGAGTTCTATCACGTTTAGGTTAGACACTTTGATATATACTATTCTCTCGGTGAGAAGAAATCGACCAAACCCACGTGACGAGAGGTACTGCGAGAGTTGACATACTGCTACTGTTTCTGTAGGATAGTACTGTATTATTACATTGATTCTCTATGTAATAATTTATCGTTTCTATTTATTACCTGAGGTTGTTTACTACTTTCGCTCCAAAGTTCAAAAATAATTATTATGTCGAAGGCATTGATATATGTCGTTAATCTTCACTCCGTCTAATTTGAAACTGGCTACAGATACCATTTTTATCTAAAAGGAAAAGAAAATAATCTTAGAGGTCTCCAATACAGATCGCTGTAGAATTTTTTCCCAAGAAATCTTGATTTTTGAATAAGGGAATGCCTTTAGATTTCATTATCAATTCCTTATCATGATCAAGTTTTTTCCCAACAAATCTTGATCTTTGCCTATAGATTTCATTTTCAATTCCTTCTCATGAACATGTATAGATTTAATAGTTCGTGTAGCCAGATGTAATTGCTCCAGCATCCGTATATTGGGGGTGTTTTTCCTTATGTCGACGAATATCTATGAATTCGTAGTAAGACTATTTAATTGTTGTCTTCAAGATACTCGCTTTCAGAAAACACCATGTCCTTCAAACGGTTTGTCCAGATATTTGTCAAATTATTTTGAGTGATGATGCAATTTGATTGATTGAAGGGTTGCATGCTGATTTACGTCATATTCGAGAAATTTTCTTTCTCATAAACATCATTATACATGTACGTACCTAATTCAGGACAATTGAGCAATAAGAAATCTGTAATACGAGACTTTACTGTTAAGTTTCGACCGAAAGACCTGCAACTTTCACTTTTAAGTGCCGAATGTTTGGCGAAGGAACAGTTTTTATTTAATCGAAACATGGTCTTTAACGGCTTAAACCAACGACCTCCGATAATGGAGCTAGCGCAATAAATTCTTGGGTAATGGTAAGGGTTGGCACGATAAAGAACTCTCACTGTTCCTGAGTGCTGATATAAGGACTGAACCGAGAGCCCTTTTAGGGCATAAGATGACTCTCTTTGAGTGAATACTTCTCGAAAGGGATGTTAAATAACACACAATCAATCAAAAAGAATCATTGAGAGGAATCATGCTGCAATATTTAAAAAAAATGTATAGTTTTCCTATAAACATAATACATTAAAGCATCGTTCCGACGTCAGAAAGTTGAACGACATCAATCTCGATCTCATGTCCACTTTGCATTGTCTTATCCGGTTAACATCATGTACATCGCAAGGTTGGACGAAAAAAAGTCGACATATTTTCGTTAAGATTGTTCAGGTAGAAGACGTTGCATCGTCGACATTTCAATAAAGGATGACATCGAGTGGACTGTTAATCAACATTGCCTTCACTTATCCTGCTTACATCGTTGATTGTGCCGATGTTGCAATGTTGGACAAATTGTGTTATCTTCCTATCAATTCTTCCATCTTTTAAACATCATTAACATCACAAACTCGGATGACATCGTGTTGCATTGTGATAACAACTCATTCCTATTTACAAGATTACCGACGTTAGAATGTTGGACTATACATATCTGGTTGACAACCTGCCCATAAATACACGTTTGCATTGTTCAAATCGTGGAAATTGTAATGATAAATTAGATCGATTCAACGTCACTAATTAGTCCCGGTGAAACCGCAAAAGACTACAGGTTTCCTCTGAGTCCGCCCGTCTGTCTGTCTGTTACACTTGGTTTTCTTCAATTGTTTTTGTAAACACTTGCAGATGTTGAGCTGATTTTTGGTATGCAAGTGTATCTTGATAAGTTACAGATCAATTTCTCATTTCGTTCCGCTTCAGTTGTTGTTGACGGAATGGCATTTTTTATTATTGGATTCATGATCGGGATCGTGCTGCACAATATTAATGTTCCAAATTAGATTGTCATGTTAAAAGTTATTGATTGGAAACTTGCCAAATTAACCAGTTAAAATGAGCTGTTTTTATCAAAGCATGTCTAATGGCATTCAAACACTTCTTTCTTTGTAAGGCAGAATGACCTAATTCCAATTAGACATTTCATTCATAAAGAAGTAATTACTTAAATGAAACTTGAACGAAAACTAGCTAGTTTCACAGGACTTTTGGGTTTTTGTTATATCTTAAAGTAATTTGAAGATTCCTTCAGTAAATGAAACAAAAATGACATTGTCTTAAGTAGGTCACATCAGAATTAAGTCTGCGACTACTTCTACCCTCTCAACAGATCAATATTTTATGTGATCGTTACGAATTTGTTCCTTCCAGAGCGTGCTTCTCAATGATGATTAATTTCCGTTATAATCTAAATGTATGATGTAGACTGCAAACTAGTTTCTTTTTACCATTTAATCATTATGATAGTGTCCCGTCTATAAAAAGAAATTTCCACCTTAATTTGCATAGTTTGAACTGAAGTTTTATTTGATTTCTTAAAGTATCTTTCTTCGATACCTTATTTTAGACAAAAAATACGTTATGAATATTGCAAAGATGGGAAACAAAGAACTGATGGATTATTATGTATGGTGAAATTTTGTTACATTCATATTCACAACTTATGTACCGACTTTTCTCAATAGGTTGAACATTGGGTAAAGATAAATATATTCTGTAATAACGAATAGTAATCAAGTGATTAGAACGTCTGCTCTAGAGTCGCGAAGTAAGGAGTTGATCCTTATGTCGCGGGTTCAAATCTCACTGTGGGACCTGGAGACCGGTCCTTCGGATGAGACCTGTTAAACCGATCCCTTCCTGCTCAATGGCCCTAAGTGCCGAGTATAGGACAAAATTTACCGCTCTCCACCGGCAAATGGTGTCGTCTTCATCTGAGTTAAAAATTGTCGAGAGGGACGTTAAACATTATACAATCAATCAAGTTCAAGTGCTATGAAGTTGACATCAAAAAAGATGTTTGAGTTTCTGATTGACAATGTCTATGTGGTTTTTGGAGACCAGGCTTCCAACAAACTGTTGGAATTCCCATCGGTACCAATTGCGATCCGTTATTAGCAGACCTATTTTTGTATTCACATGAAGAAAAACTTCTGCAAAATCTAATGCGTGAAAGGAAGAAAGCTGTGACCTTCAACTCAACATTTAGATATATCGACGACGTATTGTCACTTAACAATGGTAATTTTCATTCCAATGTCGACGCGATATATCCTGGTGAGCTTGAGAAAAAAGATACCACAGAGTCTGGCACATCTGTTTCATGCTTGGATATTTTATTTGAAAAAGACGTTAATGGTAATCTAACAACTAAGTTCTATGATAAACGTGATGACTTTAACTTTTCTATTGTCAACTTCCCTTACTTATGCAGCAATATACCTTCATCACCTGCATACGGTGTTTATATATCTCAGTTAAATTGATACGCAAGACCAAAGTTCTCAAAACATTTGGTGCGACTTTTGTGTTAATCCAAACGATATATACTCATAACACAACATTCATCTTGATTTATTTGTATTTAAATGTTTTATTGTTGTGGGTATTTATAGAGTTAAGAAGGATTAAAACAGAATGTAAATCAGTTATGTTTTTGGAGAGATTTTAAAGTACATTAAGAAAAATACAAAATGGATTTCAGAATATTAATACTTCTCCTCTCCTTAATTTTAGGTAGGTTATCAAATTAATTTGTCATCTTTTATAACATTTGTTTCTTTACAACTGTTCTGTAGCCATTTCATTACATGTAGCGCAATGGAAATTTAATACAAACTTTAAACTTAAAGATGGCTGCCATGGTTGTTCCTATCCACGCTTTATTCAGAATGTGACATGGAAAGACACTACTAAAGGTCGTGTGGTGTATGGAGATACCAAGATGACTGGTTGGGCTTTTGTCGCCTTTAACCAGATGATCGCGGACTGGGAGTGTTACATGAAAGACGAACATTTCATTGTGTCAAGGTAAAACACTTCATAACAGACTCCACACTTATTTCACGAGTAAGGAGGTCTTGTGACTGTAAGAAAAAAATGGCGGGTTTTGAAGTAATGTTCAATGATTAGTTCTGATCCATTTGATATAAAATGTTTTGCATATAATGTAAGATATGTAGAGCAATTAAAATCCAGAGAAAACGAATCGTTTACTGGGTAAAAACAATGGCAACTTAAAACATCGGAGGTGTGATCACGTGCCGTGGAGGAGTAAGCAACTCATATCGGCCGGTAAGCCCTATGACGGTGTTATTAACAAGAGGCTCATGGACCACATCGCTCACATGACCAATATGGCGAGGAAAAAAATAGCAGAAATCAGTTATTGAAAAGTTTAAACCCAATAGTGGTCCCAACCTATCCTTAACACGAAGAGGGTATGATTTAAACAAACTTGAATCTCCACTAACTAAGGATGCTTGCATATTTCCTTGACTACCTGTGGCTTTATTGACCTTTACATTTGAACTTACACTGTGGCCATGCCCTACCCCCAGGAGTCATGACTTGAACAAAATTGAATCTACACTACTTGAGAATGCTTCCATATGAATAGGACTAATCATGGCTTTGCTATTCTTGAGAAGAAGATTTTTAAAGAATTTTCCGATTTATTTCTATGTAAAACTTTGATCGGCCCTATCCCCTGGGGTCATGATTTGAACAAATCTGAATCTCCACTACCTGAAGATGCTTCATAAAAATATGATCATTTATGCCTTTGCTATTTTTAAGAAGACGATTTTAAAAGAAATTTCCTATATATTTCTATGTAAAACTGTGATCGGCCATTGTGGCCCCGCCCTACCCCCAGGGGTCATGATTTGAATAAATCTAAATCTATACTATCTGAGGATGCTTCCATATAAATATGATCAGTCATGCCTTTTCTATTCTTGTGAAGAAGATCTTAAAAAGAATTTCCTATATATTTCTATGTAAACTTTGATCGGCAATCGTGGCCCCGCCCTACCCCCGGGGGTCATGATTTGAACAAACTTGAATCTACACTACCTGAGGATGCTTCTTAATAAATATGATCATTCATGCCTTTGCTATTCTTGTGAAGAAGATTTTTAAAAAATGATCCTATATATTTCTATGTAAAACTTTGATCGGCCATTGTGGCCCCGCCCTACCCCCAGGGGTCATGATTTGAACAAATTTGAATCTACACTACCTGAGGATGCTTCCCTATAAGTTTCATCTTTCCTGGCACAGTGGTTCTTGAGAATAATTTAAAAAATTTTCCTATATATTTCTATGTAAAACTTTGATCGGCCATTGTGGCCCCGCCCTAGCCCCGGGGGTCATAATTTGAACAAACTTGAATCTACACTACCTGAGGTTGATTCCACATGAGTTTCATCTTTCCTGGCCCAATGGTTCTTGAGAAGAAGATTTTTTAAAAATGCCATTAATTTTTTCACTAATTCATAATTATCTCCCCTTGGAAGAGGGCGTGGCCCTTCATTTGAACAAACTTGAATTCCCTTTACCCAAAGATACTTAGTAGCAAGTTTGGTTGAAATTGGTCCAGCAGTTCTTGAGAAGAAGATGAAAATGTGACAAAGTTTACAACAACGACAGACAACGGACAAATTTTGATCAGAAAAGCTTACTTGAGCCTTCGGCTCAGGTGAGCTAAAACCAATGTCACAACAATTAATCTGGAACACATTGAGCAAAAAACATGTACGAACCTACTATAGTTGTATTTTATAGTCATTTTAACTACCTCGGTATTTGTGAACGAATTGATGACTTTATATGTTGTTGTTGGAATTCCTGTAACATTAACTTCATGCTCTTGTGTATCGAATCAGTTGGATGACAGTGTAAATTACTACATAAATAGAGCAGAAATCAATGGAAAAGCTGAAGTCAAACTGTTCGTTTTTTAGTTGGCCATAAGGAGAAGATTAAAGATTATTTATGGGGAAGGGGTATAGCTTCTCTTAACGCCCCATGTTGCAAACATACATATGAGAAATTTCTATCTTTTTTTAACAGATCGACTAAAACAATTAAAGTGTTTGGAGCTGAAGTTCATGCATATCTTTGCCAGAAGCTGAGTCGAATTGATGAAAATGCTATTTACTATTACGCCATGACAGGTAATGAAACATACGGAGGTAACAAACAATACAAAATAGGAGCAGAGTAAACACGGACCACCAAATCATCAGAGGCGGGATCAGGGCCCATGGAGGAGTGAACATCCTCTGCCGACCGGTCACACCCGCCCTGTGCTCTTTGTCATGATCGGGAAATAATAGAAAAAATCGTCGTCAATTCAGTGTATAAATAATAGACTAGTAATTAGTATGAAAAACGTTAGTCATACATGTGACATTATGATCATTTTCCTTCAATCGCCACAATGATATTGTATACTTGCAATAGCGGTCGGAAAGGTTTTTATAATGTTTTCCGGGTCACTAAGACGAGTGTCCTAATGCCTATTATAATTACTTAATGCTTGCAAACTATGCTAAATTGGTGGAAATATAAAAGTTCGTTAATAGTTTTTATGAAAACGCTGTTAATTTGTAAATTTACTATTATTTAATATTAACCTCTATTATTTGTTATACATGTATATACAGATAAAGAAGAGAATGCTGAGAAAGAAAGAGTACATGTAACCGCGGCCCTGATACAAGACGTCTGCACTGTCTGTAACCCGAAGTCTTCTCCAGCAGACGAGGAGTTCCGAGTTCTTGTCAGAGATGGTATGGCTTCAGCAATATTGTTGGATTTCAATTTTATAGTGTTTTTTGATGTAAAAATCAAACACACCTATCCCTAAAAAGAGCTTTCGTAATGATTAATTTTCTTAAACTGCTGCATAAGAATCTTGAGGGCAATAAAACATTGAAAATTGAAAACTCCCAGAAGATCAAAGAGATGCTATATTCCCATACATTTACATATATCAACACACATTGATTGATTGTATATTGTTTAACGTCCTATTGCGCCACGCGGGCGGCGTCAACAAACATTGAAAATTAAAAGATGTCAAAAGATAAAGATCTCGTCAGCCAAAGCCCCAATCCAGGAAGTTTATTTTATTTTGCAACATGCAGTTTTAATGTACAATTTTTACCTTGATTGAGGTCAATATTGCTGTCAGAATATGCAAAAATAGGACATCAGTAAAAACGTAGCTGTTGAAGGATAATTTTCGTGCAGAATTTCATTTTGTCGACCAGTTTTCTTCGAGGTAAAAGCAGTACGGGATCTTTTTCATGCGTAGCGAGATTCGAACTCGCGACGTAAGAAACAACTCCTTACATCGCAACTCTACAGCAAACGTTCTAATCACTCACTGTGTACATTGTATTTATCAAAAAAAATAAATGGTTATGAATAAAACAAGACATAAGTTTGAAATATCGTTACAGGTACTGAAGTTGACCCGTCTTTATTAGAGGCGCCAGTTGTTGGATGTAATCCGTGTGTTCTTCAGTGTGATATACCAGGCTCTCCACCTGTACCTACCACCACAACAATTAAACCTACAGGAAAAATGGTTTTTAAAATCAAAAACAAAAAGCCGTCCGTAAAACCTTCTGATAAAAACTCAATACAGAAGAAATCTAATGCTGGACTTGTCGTTGGAATTGTTATTGCGGTGTTAGTCCTTGTGTCTATGGGTGTAGGAGCTGCGGTCTGGTACTTCCGATTTAGAAAATAAACACATCAATTCAATTTTTTTCTACTTGTTTTTATAAGCGTTCACTAGAGGTCTGTTGCAACCACTATTGAAATAATTATTTCAATAGTGGATGAGAGTGCATTTCAATAGCAAACATAGTTAGTAGCCACTATTGAAATATGACCGCTATTGAAATAATTATATCAATAGTGGTTGAGAGTGCATGTCAATAACAAACATAGATCATAGTAACCACTATTGAAATACGACCACTATTGAAATAATTATTTCATTGGTGGGTGAGAATGCATTTCAATATAATAACCACAGGTTTCAATCGCTATTGAAATAAGAGCACTATTGAAATAATAATTATTTAATAGTGGGGAAGAGTGCATTTCAATACGATTACCATAGGTTTCAACCACCATTGAAATACGACCAGTATTGAAAGAAAAGTTTCACCGCGTAATTTTTAATTTTTTATCCAAAATTTCACAAAAATTGGATTTTGAGTGAAAAATATATATATTAATAATAATTAAAGTGTATAAATTAATAAGGATGGTTTCAGTGAGGCAGAATTTTGAACATCAAAGAAGGTTTACAATTTCTTTATGTTCTAGAAATTTATTATTTGCATCATTTTCAATGAAATCAGACCAAAAAATATATACCAATCCAGACACCCATATTTTGTTTGTATCATCTGTCCTTAAATGAAGATTTAGATAGTTATTGAAATAATAATTTCAAAAGTGATTGAAATAATAATTTCAAAAGTGATTTAAATAATTATTTTGATAGTTGCTGATAATACTTTAAAACTAAAACCATAATTCAATCCATATTGAAATCTTTATTTCAAAAGTGAACATTATTTTAATAGTGGTTGCAATCTATGTTTGTTATTGAAATGAACCTCACCCACTATTGAAATAATTATTTCAATAGTGGTCGTATTTCAATAGTGTTTACTATCTACATGTATTTTTGCTGTTGAAATGCACTCTCAACCACTATTGATATAATTATTTCAATAGTAGTCGTATTTCAATAGTGGTTACTAACATATGTTAGCTGTTGAAATGCACTCTCAACCACTATTGATATAATTATTTCAATAGTGGTCGCAACAGAGGTTTTTCAAGCTGAATTTTGTTTTTTATTTATTGACAGTCCTGTAATGCCAATGGCAAAGTAGTTGAAGAAAAAATTCACACTAATTTTGCAATAAAATTAGTTTATTGCCTGACGTCACGGCGTCAGGCAGTATAAGGATTGATATTTCCAAGATCCGAAACTGTGCGACCATATCTAAAGAGCTAGAATTTGTGCAAGCTGATTTACATTGGAATTCTTTACTTGCATTTTAAAAGAAACAGTTTTCAGAAAAAAGAAAGATATTACTGATGCAAAATACTGCAGTGTTTACTTCTTTTACTCTTTTTGCATGGAACAGATTATTCCATGTGATTCGTCGTTTCAACATGTCAGTGTATCCTTTTTTCTGCATTTCTATACTACTGGATCAGTCCACTTATATTCTACGAAAGGGGTGAATCGCTCTTTTTGCGCCAGATGTCACTAGTAAGCCATCTTCTCGCCTTTTCCTTGGATTGTTCTATTGTATGAATGGGTGCCTTCCAGGAAATTAAATAAACTTTGTTCTTTTAACTTCCTTCTAATGCTTCAGAAATTCTATCTACAAGTTTTATATCATTCTTTAAAATATCGTATACATCAGTATATGGACATGTAGCACTAAAGAAATGATGTTTCTAATTTGTTTCTCGATCCCGCGGTTGGTTTATTCCATAAATGGACTAGTCCAATAATAATAAACAACGCAGTTCAAGCCTTCGTCTTCAGATGCATGATCTATTATGTCTTTGTTCAGATGCACACAATAAATAAGAAAGCAGTGAAAAATCTTGGATTTTTCTTTCCACAGAGCCTAAATATTGAAATTACTTATTTCATTCTCAATATATGATAGTGTCATCCCCCTCCCTTTTTAAGAAAAAAAATAATGAACACACATTACTACTGTTTACTTCAGAGGAGAAAACACACTCCAGCAAAATGTGTTTTAATTACATCCATCTTTTAAAATGTTCACAATGCGTGCTATGATAACAGATTTTATAATATATAGGTGTTACAGTGTAGCTTGAAATTAATTTAGATCCAAGGGCAGATCACTCCACTTGCAGACCCCCCCCCCCCCCTTAACTACAAAGTTCTTTAGTATGCAGTGTAGAGATGATTCTTCTACAAGTTAAGTAAAATCAAGATTTCAATTACATAACGTTCTCAAAATATAAAGTTAGGATATTTTTTAAACCCACAAAGTATTGCTCAATAGGTTATCACTCTTCATGCAGATAACTTGATTGATTTAGTCAGGCAAGCTTTTTAAAAAGCTGTTACTTGTATACATATTATGAAATTCGGACATAGAATTACACACTGCTTTCGATACAGGGTTTCTAAACCAGAGCAATTAAACAACCCAATGGACTAGGAGATTCACGTCAGAACACTCAGTGTTGTCCAGTACCTCTTTCAAGCATCCATCAGTAACGTAAATAATCACCAAATGTCAAAATGAAATTCGTTGTTCACACTTATATACATGCCATTAGTATTACTACTTTATTCGGTCGCCCTCTGGCGCAGTGGTTAGACCGTCTGCTCTGGAGTCTTGAGGTAAGAAGTTGATCCTTACGTCGTGGTATGAATTCCACTGTGGGACGTCGAGAACGCTTCTTTGGATGAGACTGTACAAACCAAGGTCCCGTGTAGCTGGAGGTGTTGACACGAAAAAAAAAAGTTGAGTGAAAAAGTCTCGAGAGGGACGTTAAACAAATTTTTAACACAGGACTTAAAAATTCCAGTTAGTTGCAGTTTCCGTTTATTTTCTTCGCAAAGGTTGCATATAATGAAGTGGAATTGGCATAGAGATTTATCATACGAATATCTAAATCAAGTGCTGTGTTCTGTCAATATGTGTTATGTCAACATGCCAGATAATTATGTTAACATGCAAGATATGTAAGTTTGATACGCAAGTTATCATTTTGCATGTTGACATAAATAAGTTGCATGTGTACATAATTAAAAACACATGTTGACATAAATATTTTGCATGTGTACATAATTAACTCGCATGTTGACATAATTATCTTGCATGTGAACATAATTATCTTGCATGTTAACATAAGTAAATAGCATCTTCTCATAATTATGTTACATCTTGCATCTATGATGTCAGATACGGGCGTCACCACGGTATTTTACCCATATTTAAATCAGATTCCCTTAAAAGGTTTGTAACTTGCATATCAACATAATTATCTTGCATGTATACAAAATTTTCTTGCATGTTAACATAATTTATCTTGCATGTATGGGGCAGAAATATGCCACCATACATAATTTTTTTTACACTTACATTTTGGCTTTATTTGTTTGTAAGTAAGATAGATTTTAAATCTCTGCTGACAAGACAAAAATTTTGTACCACAAAAGTTCTGGGGCACCGTATGAATAAGAGAAAAACCCCATAATTATAAACTTACATTTAAGCTCCATTTGTTCGTAAAACATATTTTAATCTCGCTTTGCTTGTGATAAGACAAAAATTTAGTTGATCCTTACGTTGCAGGTCGAATCCCACCGTGGGACGTGGAGACCGGTCCTTCTGAGACCGTATAAACCGAGGTCCCGTGTCACAATAGCTGCTAGCACGAAAAAGATCCCTCCCTGCTCAACGGCCCTATGTGTCGATCATAGGACAAAATTTACAGCTCTCCACCAGCAAGTGGTTGCGTGTCCATATGAGTGAAGAATTAACGAGAGGGAGGTTAAACATCATACATTCAATCAATCCTGTATTAAAAAAACAAATTTTACATTAAAGTACCATTTGATAGTAGAACATTTTTTAATCTCTGCTTTGCTGTTGTCTTACCACAATCTCCTGGTTCTGGAGCATCTTCTGAATAAGAAAAAAACCCCAATTATTTCATACTTACGTGTAAGTTCCATTTGTTAGTAAAACATATATTTTAATCTCGCTTTGCTGGTATTAAGACAAAAAAAATTCCACAATCATCTGGCCCTGGACCACCTCCTGAATCATAACTAGAGGTACTGTGAGCAATGAGCTCACTAAATGATACCCCCCGCCTCCCATATGAATATAATGGCAGTGTCCATGTTTTGCTCTGGAAAATCCAAAATATATGTCAGATCAAAAAGTAAAATAAGAGGTGCACAATGGCAATATGTAATGAAGATTTTGTGAAAGTTTCATTAAATTTCCTTCAGTGGTATGAGAGGAGTTGCGGATAAGAGATGGGTACCCCAAAGCGTAACAGACGGACGGACGTACAGACGGACGGAAATACCGATTACTATATACCCTCCCACTTTTCAAGCGGGGGGTATAAAAAAAAACAAACAATAATATCAGAGCTTATGCCCTGTTTATAAAAACGTTTGTTTGATTCAATGTTTAGAAGAATGTTGTTATTATTGAATTCTAGGAATATTTATTTAAGTCCAATTCATTCAACTGGCTTTATTTTTTTAATAACCTTAGGAATTAAAATGTAAATAATGCAACTATATCCAGGCCCCTTTAAGGATGTAAAAAGCTAATTCTCTTTATTTGATGGTTTATTTCAATATATTGGTTGTTCACTTTTCTGTCTTTTGCTGGCACTAGGTACAACCTTCATTATACCCCCCGCTTGAAAAGCGGGAGGGTATATAGTAATCGTTAATTCTGTACGTCTGTCCGTCCGTCCGTCTGTTACGCTTTGGGGTACCCATCTCTTATCCGCAACTCCTCTCATACCACTGAATGAAATTTGATGCAACTTTCATAGAATCTTTATTACATATTGCCATTGTGCACCTCCTATTTTACTTTTTGATCCGACACATATTTTGGGTTTCCCAGCCAGAGGAAAACATGGACTTTTTCACCAGTTATAACCATATGGGATGCGGGGGGTATCATTTAGTGA